ATATATGTAATCGCTTCCTCAGCACTGAGCTCAGGAGTTCCTATACAGTGTTGGAGTAGGAATATATGTAATCGCTTTCCTCAGCACCGAGCTCAGGAGTTTCCTATACAGTGTTGGAGTAGGAATATATGTAATCGCTTTCCTCAGCACTGAGCTCAGGAGTTTCCTATACAGTGTTGGAGTAGGAATATATGTAATCGCTTTCCTCAGCACCTGAGCTCAGGAGTTTCCTATACAGTGTTGGAGTAGGAATATATGTAATCGCTTTCCTCAGCACCTGAGCTCAGGAGTTTCCTATACAGTGTTGGAGTAGGAATATATGTAATCGCTTTCCTCAGCACCTGAGCTCAGGAGTTTCCTATACAGTGTTGGAGTAGGAATATATGTAATCGCTTTCCTCAGCAGCTGAGCTCAGGAGTTTCCTATACAGTGTTGGAGTAGGAATATATGTTCGCTTTCCTCACCTGAGCTCAGGAGTTTCCTATACAGTGTTGGAGTAGGAATATATGTAATCGCTTTCCTTCTGCACCTGAGCTCAGGAGTTTCCTATACAGTGTTGGAGTAGGAATATATGTAATCGCTTTCCTTCTGCACCTGAGCTCAGGAGTTTCCTCACTAATTATACTGAGTTTATTCACGAATTAATAGGGTAGAAGTGTACAGACACTAACAAAAATTTCCCAAAATTTTCTCATAATTTACAATGCGCATATTTTCCCCCATAAACTATGATGATCATGTTGCACTTATTCTCTTCAGATGAACGTCGCGTTAACACAACCAGAGAAGTCTACAGTAGGGTGGCCAGTCCTAGGTAGCGATCAACCTCATATCATTTGTGAAGTTCCCTCAGAACCCCTACTAATCGCACCAGAGACGGACGTGTTGTTTTTCCCGGGGTAAAAACGTTCAGTGTCGATGTGCATGCGTGCAACTTTCATTTCAGAACTCTCCTAGGGAACAAAGAACTCTCTATTTTCCCGTCACTGCTCGTCAAGAATCCAAAAGTGAGTTAGTTGATTCTCAGTGGCAGTGTTGGAGCAAATGTTCGTATTCTCAGCTGAGCCCAGCAGAAGTTTCCTCACTAATTATAAAAGTTTACGTACAAATTCGGGTGAAGCGTACGGAAACCACTGAAAATTTCCTCCCAAAATTTCCACGAATGTCACCTACACATCGTCGCGCGCATGTGGAGGCGACAATATAAAAATTCCGAGGAAATTTATATTTGTTCCTAAATACTTCTACCACCCGAATTCGTGAATAAACTCCTATAATGTGTAAGTAGATTTCACCGCTCAACTGAGGAAAGCGAACATATATTTCCACACTTCTAAATCTTGTTCAGATCACACTTCGACGTGGGGCGATGGACCTAACGAGACCGGTTGCCTCAAATTACGTAGAACTCCTCGCAAGGTAAGTAGCGATTCTCCTATGTTACTACTCTACATAACAGTTTGGTTTACACTGTATATATATGTGAATATAGATATCAGGCCTTGGTGACGAAGGGGCGAAGTTCGACTAGTCTGCATTTTTCATTTGAGATGTTGGGAAAAAATGATCGTTGTGTAGATTTGACGATCAAAAGTGATTTTCAATTGCGCTCGTCATGGTATGGTCATTTGCTAGTCATAGATCTCGAATAGTGCACTAAGCTGGAACCTGAAGTTAGTCCCCGGGTGGAAATTTTCCGTAAAAAATTGTTTTCGCACATATTTTTTGCAGCTCTGGGAGTAGTCGAGTTTTTCGATTTTTCTGCCAACCTCCGGGCATAGAGGACTCGTTTGGTTCATCTGATGTCCTCAGACGGTCCGTAGTGCAGTCAAAGTAATTCAGCACGCACGCACGCACGCACGCACAACGCAAAAGTGCCTGTTGTTGCGGGATATGCTCCGCTCGCTTCGCTCGCTCCGCAATTCCATGCGGAATTATTATACTCATTATGCATATATGAGAAAAGAAGGGCGATTTTGTACAAAGTCGTTCAGCAACCAACTCTTCTATGTTCAGCAGCGTTAAGTTATCATATCATATTAAATATAAATACTTATAAATAATCCTTAATATTAGTATATCAATAAATGATTGATAATATATAATATATAATATTCATAATAATATAATATATAA